AGATTTATGACGTAATCACAGCACTGTCTCTGTTGGTAGTGTGAGAGACAGATTTATGACGTAATCACAGCACTGTCTCTGTTGGTAGTGTGAGAGACAGATTTATGACGTAATCACAGCACTGTCTCTGTTGGTAGTGTGAGAGGCGGCACAGGCCATAAATACAGATTTATGACGTAATCACAGCACTGTCCTTGTTGTACGGGGTGCCCATTGCGGATGAGATCAGGTGTGATCGCCCCTGTCGTCGCCTGAACACAAACGCGTTTGATTTTGAGTCGACGAGTCGGGCGCGATCGGCTTGTGCCAGAATAGCCGCTTTCCGCCCTCAATCAGGCTAGCAAACCGACCCGACCCGAGCCCCCAATGGACACCCCGTATTGGTGCCGTGAGTGGCGACAAAGCTATAAATTAATAGATAAATGGTCGGTTTTAAGTACAAGTGGGCTATCCCGAAAAATGCTGTTTTGAGGAAATCGAAGGTAAAGTTGCCCCTTTTTCAGTTTCTTTAAAAGACAAGGAGAGTTTTCTCTATATCCAAACAAATATACACACCAATGAAACCAAACGTATCCTATAGGTAGAACAATGCCCACTTTTGGTGTAGGTCAAGATTTCTGGAAACCCCCGAAATCTGGGTTAGCCCACTTGTCCTTAAAAGCGACCATATGACTTAATCACAGCAGTGTCCCTGTTAGTAGTGTGAGCCAATGCTGGTGGGAGCAAACACTCTTAGAGAATCGTCAGTGTGAGTGGTGGCAGGAGCTAAATAAATAGATGACGTAATCACAGCACTGTCCATGTTAGAAGTGTGAGCAAAGGTTCTAGAGAACCTTTGGTGTGAGTGGTGGCAGATGCTATAAATAGGCATGTGACGTAATCACAGCACTGTCCACGATATTAGTGTGGGTGGCAGCAGAAGCTATAAATAGATATATGACGTAATCACAGCACTGTCTCTGTTGGTAGTGTGAGTGGCAGCAGAAGCTATAAATAGATATAAACAAGAGAGCGTAATTACAGCGGGAGGTCCTGTTAGTTTGGGAGCAGAGGATCTAGAAGCAGTTAGTGGGAGGTTGGCGGGTGTCCTCCAGTCCCCCGGCGGTTCCCTGCACGTCTCGGAGCCACGTGACCTCCTGACCTGTATTCTCTCCAGGGGAGGCGTCTCCAGGGCCTCTCTCACTCTCCGGGAGAGCTCGTACTCCATCTGTTGGCGAACTGACTCTCTCCATCTCGGCTCGTCTGTGGGAGGGAGGGAGAGAGAGAGTGTGAGTGGGGGTGTGTGTGGGTGTCTGGGTGTGTGGGTGGGTGTGTGTGTGTGTGTGTGTGTGTGTGTGTGTGTGTGTGTGTGTGTGTGTGTGTGTGTGTGTTTGTGAGTGTCGGTGTCAACGTGTCTTTGTATC